ATATCTGAAGACATCCTCGATTCTATTTCTACGTGTGTGTGTGTGTGTGTGTGTGTGTGTGTGTGTGTGTGTACACACTTCCCCAGTCTTTTGGGGAGCTTTTCCATTTCAGAAGCACTAATTTCATTCTAATCAGATTTCAAAGAAAGGTCTTCAAAAAAGAAAACAACAGTCATATTCTTCGTACATTTCATTGGCTAGTATCAGATCTGGAGTACACTTTACTGCTAGCCATGTTAGATAATTTATTAGCTTTTCTTCTCACAGTAGGATATAGATTTTGCTTTTTACATCTCATTACAAAATGCTTTCATCACACTTCTCCTGACATCTTCAAACAATCTTCTTCTTCCTTTTCCACTTCATTTTATTAAGATGAGAAATGTTGAGCTTGTAAATCATTCATTCCAGAGCAGATAGCACAGTGCTAATATGAAACATGTCATATGCATAAAAAGAATCAAGGCTCCAGTATGAGACCAAAAGGGTCAAGACCATCAAGTCTTGGGGCCAGATTCTAGTCTCAGTACACTTGTGTAAATCTGGAGTTACTCCAGATTTAGGCCCCAATTTGGGACAGCATCCCTATTCAGAATAGCACCCAAGCATGTTTTGAACTTTAGCACATGCTTGAGCTTCATTCACATGAATGGGACTTTAGAGTGTGACAAAGTTAAGAATGTGTTTAGTTGCTGTTCTGAACAGGGATGGTCATAAGCAGATGCCTGAATCCTAAATCATGACCTTATGCTAGTTTAACAGATGGCAGATTTCCAGGAATCACGTAATTTTTGTCCCTAATTTAATAAATTCTGCAAATTTTCCATTCTGCAAATGTAAAAAGTTAAAGTTAACAAGAAAACTAGATCCAAACTCACTCTAAAAATTTGGATTTCGCTCCAGAATCTAATTTCACAGCTCAGGCTCATCTCCAAAGGTAAAAGGTTTTCTGGGGTTTTTAACAGACACTTCTTTTATTGACAAGATTTATATAATAGGTGAACAGCTCCAATGTCTTATGTTCCAAGAGCAGTTTCCTTTGTCTGTACTTGGGAAGCTTTCACAGAAAATACTAGTATGTTTCTTAGACCTAGCCAGAGTTTTGGAAAGAATGTATGGGTAAAACACAGATACACACAACTTGTGCTGGAAAGGACTGGGGTCATGGTTCTGCAAACTGAAAACAAGACTAAGTTACCTAGTGGTGCAGGAATCAGAGAAACCCATAGAATAATTTTACTGCCATCTTGAGATGAGAAATTACTATGTATTTAAGGAAGGGGAGGAGAGGGAATCATTTTGAGGTAGAATCTGGCTAGCAATAAGGTATATTTTTCAGAGAAAAAAAAGAAGCCTAAAAAGTTTATACAGCTGGGGATGCCACTTGTCACATTCCAAATGGGAGAGTCCCTTCTAAATTTGTCTCTCTGTGCCCTACTGAGAAAGGCCTTTCTGTCCCTGTCCTCAAAAAGAACAGTGGGATGTTCACCCAACCTACGTACCATCCCTAGCGTTCCTCTTCTGCACCCGCTACAAGAAAATATCAGCAAGCTCAAAGCTAGCTTCCCATACTGACCTTCAGAGCTGGGATACATGAGGTCATTCAGAGATAGATGCAGTTCAACTGACTTGATGAAAAGGAGATACAGTACAACAGGGTTTGTTTTAAAGGAATTTGTTCCTAATAGGCACTGTATCATTTCCTTAATAGAGCTTAACTCTGAAGATCACTCCTAGAGTTGGTTCCCACATTTAATTTGGGGTCCAAATATTGACTGTGAAAACACAGAACTGGACATCATGAGGCCCTACCACAATATTGACGTACATCTCCAGGGGGACAAATTTGCCACATCCCATGGAGGTGTTTAGATGGTACTGCCCACCGAAACCCCACGCCCCAGTCTTGTTAGAGTAACAGAGTCCTCTTAAAATTGTCACCACACCAAAAGGTTATTCACTTCTGTAAGTCCAAATGCTGCCCTTTGCAGGCCTACTGGGACCTGGAGGCAGCTCGTCTCCAGGGTACAAGTGAGATTCTCCTTGAGCTGAAGACCCCACTCAAAGAGGTTCCACTCCTTTTACCTCCATCTTTAACAACTGACGGCTGACTGACAGTGGTTGCCTTCCCATGTGGTAGGGCTCCCCCTCAACCCCTTTGATCTGGGAAGGAGTTGATTAACACTTTCTTCCCTGTGCTGGGGAGTAGAGCAGGAAAGGGAGCAAGGTATGTACATTCCATATCAATCTTAACTCGCTTCTTCCATCATCAACATTTGAAGGTCTGATCCTGCTTCCACTGGACTCTGTGAGAGTTTTACCATTAACTTCAATGGCAAGAGAATCAAACCCTTAGCATTTTCACTAAGTGGAGGAAAAGAAATCAAATTCTGGATTATCCCTGATGTAACAGAAATATTGAGAAACTAGAAGAAGTTTCTTTACTTGTATGTCCTCTTGCACAGCATTTAGAATGGAGTATCAGCAGTGACAACCAGAAATGAGATAGCAGTCTTTTTAACTCATTAGAAAAAAAAATCAAAGCAGATGCAAGAAATATAGATTTTCTACTACAATGATAACACAAAATGTACTCTGCTCTACCAAACCTAGTAAGTGACATTTTAATTTCCACGTGGCTAAGTGTTAGAAAAAATGCTGCATATATCATAGGAAACCAGGCGTCAGTGGGATCAGTGACTGCTTGTCAGAATTTTCTAACGATGATGTTTAATTCAGATTTAGTTTAACAAGAATGGAGTTCTCCCGTCTTCTGACCCCCAAATCTGATTTGGTCACGTGTCATGGTGGGTCACCATGGTACAATAACCCGTTGCATGCTACACCATGACACAGAGCCGGCAAATTGTCAGCTTACAGTTCCTGTGAGACCTTCTAAGGCCAGGAACCCCAATGAATTCAGCACGTTCACATGAGAACGAATGCCACCGTTCTTATTCAATTCTAACAGTCTAATGAAAAACACTCCTGCTGCTTTCAAAGTGTGGAAAACATAAAGTACCTCCTTGTGCTGCTGCTGCTAAGGGAGCAGGTTTCTTCCCCGTCTCAGGAAAGCCATTCCCCTCCAGAATTGCACCTTTCCCTTCTTTCTTCCCAGCAGCAGTTGAATTGGAAGTTTCCATCTTAGATGCGCATATTCCAGCTCAGGAACCCTAAGGAACACAAACCAAAAACACATTTCTGTCACTTCTTGAACAAAAGAAGCAAAATGAGCCCCAGGAGGGAGAGCCCAATACATCATCACAATCCAAAAGCAAATTTAAAAAAACAACAAAGATCTCCTAAGTTTCTTTCCCTGGCAGCCTGGCTGCTATAATTATAACCAGAAAGGGCTTGGCTCTGCAAAGTGCTGAGTGCTCTCAATTCCCATTGATGTCATGGGAGCTGACGAGGCTCAGGACCTCAAAGGATCAGGCCCATTTTTTTAATTAAAAGTTTTGACTGGACTTTATTTTGTGGGTTAGTATACAGTCAATCCAAAGAGGTGAACCTTTGTGCTCAATTACTCCCCAACCCCACACTATTTTTCAACCTGCTCGAATGATAATAAACAATAGGTACTCGAGACCCTATGCAACACTCAGGCAAAACTTCCATTGATTCTTGTCTGTTCAATTCGGGTTCTTATTTCATGCCCAAAGTCATACCTGAGAATCAATTTTTTTCCTGAGTAAGGAGTGTGGAATTATGCAACTTAAGCCGCAGCTTAAAGTACTGGATATCAAGCACAAGTGTATCTTTATTCATATCTGTAAGACCCCACTCCCATCCTTCCAAAACACTGGTTCTGTGTGAGAAAGAAAGGCTAATCCAATACAATCCTAAAGTGGGTTTCCCCTAGAGACCCCAGCACATTTTCATTTCTGGTCCCCATCCACATTAATATAGCTGAAGGCTTCCTAGCTTTATTTGAGACATGTCTATATAGTTCCTACTTTGGGAAAAATGGAGGCGGGAGATACTGAAACCATTTGATGCCTCCGTATTACTGGCCCTTCACTCAGGTCTTGAGAGAAATCACAGCAAGATCCCTCTTACATTTTTAATTGTAGTTTGTGTAAATTATCCAGCCTCAAAAATTTGCTGGAATACACAGGCTGCTTCAGTTACAGGAATTAACTGTATCAGCCAGAAAACTTCTGGGAAAGCGTGAGAGAACTTTTGGGTTGGAGTCAGTTTCACTGTAACAGCATCACTTCACATTTTCTTCACTTTACATTGCGAGTAAAGATTTACAGAGTCCTGAACAGCTTTCATTAAAGAAAGAGTCCACATGCCTTGCAAACTTTTCTCTGTATAAAGATTCCAGGAACTCCCATTTGTTTTGTCTGATACATTTTACCCTTTCCTTGGCTGTAACCCAGATGTGAGCTCTTTTTTTTCCCTTGCTACCCTGATGATTTTATTTTTATTTTAATGTTTTTATACCTTTAAAAAAATTAAAGAAAAAAAATGTTCTCTCTCCTCTTGGATTAGTTTACTGTATTATAATGATTCTTATTATTTGTATTATTGTAGCACCTTGGAGCTTCGGTCATGGACCTGGACCCCATTGGGCTTATTGCTAGTGCTTTTTTCACTGAGTTGCTTTCTGAGGCTTTGTCTACACTAGCATTTTTGTCGGTCGGGGTGTGAAAAAAAACACCTCCCTGACCAA